GCGTCTGCCAACGGCGATGGCTCACCGTCCGACGGCGATGGCGCTGCTCCAACGGCGACGGCGAGACAAGGCACGTACGCGAGGTGCGGTGGGCGGGACCACGCGGCCGGTCGGAGGCTCGATCGCGGCCGCTCTGCACGGCCCGTGACGCTCCCGGGGTGGCGAGAGAGGACGGCTACTCGCGTCTGCCAACGGCGATGGCGCACCGTCCAACGGCGTTGGCGCTGCTCCAACGGCGACGGCGAGACAAGGCACGTACGCGAGGTGCGGTGGGCGGGACCACGCGGCCGGTCGGAGGCTCGATCGCGGCCGCTCTGCACGGCCCGTGACGCTCCCGGGGTGGCGAGAGAGGACGGCTACTCGCGTCTGCCAACGGCGATGGCGCACCGTCCAACGGCGTTGGCGCTGCTCCAACGGCGACGGCGAGACAAGGCACGTACGCGAGGTGCGGTGGGCGGGACCACGCGGCCGGTCGGAGGCTCGATCGTGGCCGCTCTGCACGGCCCGTGACGCTCCCGGGGTGGCGAGAGAGGACGGCTACTCGCGTCTGCCAACGGCGATGGCGCACCGTCCAACGGCGTTGGCGCTGCTCCAACGGCGACGGCGAGACAAGGCACGTACGCGAGGTGCGGTGGGCGGGACCACGCGGCCGGTCGGAGGCTCGATCGTGGCCGCTCTGCACGGCCCGTGACGCTCCCGGGGTGGCGAGAGAGGACGGCTACTCGCGTCTGCCAACGGCGATGGCGCACCGTCCAACGGCGTTGGCGCTGCTCCAACGGCGTTGGCGCTGCTCCAACGGCGACGGCGAGACAAGGCACGTACGCGAGGTCCGGTGGGCGGGACCACGCGGCCGGTCGGAGGCTCGATCGTGGCCGCTCTGCACGGCCCGTGACGCTCCCGGGGTGGCGAGAGAGGACGGCTACTCGCGTCTGCCAACGGCGATGGCAACCCATCCGACGGCGATGGCAGCGGGCGACGGCGCTGCTCCAACGGTGACGGCGAGACAAGGCACGTACGCGAGGTGCGGTGGGCGGGACCACGCGGCCGGTCGGAGGCTCGATCGTGGCCGCTCTGCACGGCCCGTGACGCTCCCGGGGTGGCGAGAGAGGACGGCTACTCGCGTCTGCCAACGGCGATGGCTCACCGTCCGACGGCGATGGCGTGGCTCCAACGGCGACGGCGAGACAAGGCACGTACGCGAGGTGCGGTGGGCGGGACCACGCGGCCGGTCGGAGGCTCGATCGCGGCCGCTCTGCACGGCCCGTGACGCTCCCGGGGTGGCGAGAGAGGACGGCTACTCGCGTCTGCCAACGGCGATGGCACCCCATCCGACGGCGATGGCGCTGCTCCAACGGCGACGGCGAGACAAGGCACGTACGCGAGGTGGGACCACGCGGCCGGTCGGAGGCTCGATCGCGGCCGCTCTGCACGGCCCGTGACGCTCCCGGGGTGGCGAGAGAGGACGGCTACTCGCGTCTGCCAACGGCGATGGCGCACCGTCCGACGGCGTTGGCGCTGCTCCAACGGCGTTGGCGCTGCTCCAACGGCGACGGCGAGACAAGGCACGTACGCGAGGTGCGGTGGGCGGGACCACGCGGCCGGTCGGAGGCTCGATCGTGGCCGCTCTGCACGGCCCGTGACGCTCCCGGGGTGGCGAGAGAGGACGGCTACTCGCGTCTGCCAACGGCGATGGCGCACCGTCCAACGGCGTTGGCGCTGCTCCAACGGCGACGGCGAGACAAGGCACGTACGCGAGGTCCGGTGGGCGGGACCACGCGGCCGGTCGGAGGCTCGATCGTGGCCGCTCTGCACGGCCCGTGACGCTCCCGGGGTGGCGAGAGAGGACGGCTACTCGCGTCTGCCAACGGCGATGGCAACCCATCCGACGGCGATGGCAGCGGGCGACGGCGCTGCTCCAACGGTGACGGCGAGACAAGGCACGTACGCGAGGTGCGGTGGGCGGGACCACGCGGCCGGTCGGAGGCTCGATCGTGGCCGCTCTGCACGGCCCGTGACGCTCCCGGGGTGGCGAGAGAGGACGGCTACTCGCGTCTGCCAACGGCGATGGCTCACCGTCCGACGGCGATGGCGTGGCTCCAACGGCGACGGCGAGACAAGGCACGTACGCGAGGTGCGGTGGGCGGGACCACGCGGCCGGTCGGAGGCTCGATCGCGGCCGCTCTGCACGGCCCGTGACGCTCCCGGGGTGGCGAGAGAGGACGGCTACTCGCGTCTGCCAACGGCGATGGCACCCCATCCGACGGCGATGGCGCTGCTCCAACGGCGACGGCGCTGCTCCAACGGCGACGGCGAGACAAGGCACGTACGCGAGGTGCGGTGGGTGGGACCACGCGGCCGGTCGGAGGCTCGATCGTGGCCGCTCTGCACGGCCCGTGACGCTCCCGGGGTGGCGAGAGAGGACGGCTACTCGCGTCTGCCAACGGCGATGGCTCACCGTCCGACGGCGATGGCGTGGCTCCAACGGCGACGGCGAGACAAGGCACGTACGCGAGGTGCGGTGGGCGGGACCACGCGGCCGGTCGGAGGCTCGATCGCGGCCGCTCTGCACGGCCCGTGACGCTCCCGGGGTGGCGAGAGAGGACGGCTACTCGCGTCTGCCAACGGCGATGGCACCCCATCCGACGGCGATGGCGCTGCTCCAACGGCGACGGCGCTGCTCCAACGGCGACGGCGAGACAAGGCACGTACGCGAGGTGCGGTGGGCGGGACCACGCGGCCGGTCGGAGGCTCGATCGTGGCCGCTCTGCACGGCCCGTGACGCTCCCGGGGTGGCGAGAGAGGACGGCTACTCGCGTCTGCCAACGGCGATGGCTCACCGTCCGACGGCGATGGCGCGGCTCCAACGGCGACGGCGAGACAAGGCACGTACGCGAGGTGCGGTGGGCGGGACCACGCGGCCGGTCGGAGGCTCGATCGTGGCCGCTCTGCACGGCCCGTGACGCTCCCGGGGTGGCGAGAGAGGACGGCTACTCGCGTCTGCCAACGGCGATGGCGCACCGTCCAACGGCGTTGGCGCTGCTCCAACGGCGACGGCGAGACAAGGCACGTACGCGAGGTGCGGTGGGCGGGACCACGCGGCCGGTCGGAGGCTCGATCGTGGCCGCTCTGCACGGCCCGTGACGCTCCCGGGGTGGCGAGAGAGGACGGCTACTCGCGTCTGCCAACGGCGATGGCGCACCGTCCAACGGCGTTGGCGCTGCTCCAACGGCGACGGCGAGACAAGGCACGTACGCGAGGTGCGGTGGGCGGGACCACGCGGCCGGTCGGAGGCTCGATCGTGGCCGCTCTGCACGGCCCGTGACGCTCCCGGGGTGGCGAGAGAGGACGGCTACTCGCGTCTGCCAACGGCGATGGCGCACCGTCCAACGGCGTTGGCGCTGCTCCAACGGCGACGGCGAGACAAGGCACGTACGCGAGGTGCGGTGGGCGGGACCACGCGGCCGGTCGGAGGCTCGATCGTGGCCGCTCTGCACGGCCCGTGACGCTCCCGGGGTGGCGAGAGAGGACGGCTACTCGCGTGCCAACGGCGATGGCGCACCGTCCAACGGCGTTGGCGCTGCTCCAACGGCGTTGGCGCTGCTCCAACGGCGTTGGCGCTGCTCCAACGGCGACGGCGAGACAAGGCACGTACGCGAGGTGCGGTGGGCGGGACCACGCGGCCGGTCGGAGGCTCGATCGTGGCCGCTCTGCACGGCCCGTGACGCTCCCGGGGTGGCGAGAGAGGACGGCTACTCGCGTCTGCCAACGGCGATGGCGCACCGTCCAACGGCGTTGGCGCTGCTCCAACGGCGTTGGCGCTGCTCCAACGGCGACGGCGAGACAAGGCACGTACGCGAGGTGCGGTGGGCGGGACCACGCGGCCGGTCGGAGGCTCGATCGTGGCCGCTCTGCACGGCCCGTGACGCTCCCGGGGTGGCGAGAGAGGACAGCTACTCGCGTCTGCCAACGGCGATGGCGCACCGTCCAACGGCGTTGGCGCTGCTCCAACGGCGACGGCGAGACAAGGCACGTACGCGAGGTGCGGTGGGCGGGACCACGCGGCCGGTCGGAGGCTCGATCGTGGCCGCTCTGCACGGCCCGTGACGCTCCCGGGGTGGCGAGAGAGGACGGCTACTCGCGTCTGCCAACGGCGATGGCGCACCGTCCAACGGCGTTGGCGCTGCTCCAACGGCGTTGGCGCTGCTCCAACGGCGACGGCGAGACAAGGACGTTACCCCAGGGTGCCGTGGACCGGAACCACGCCGGCCGGCCGGAGGGCTTCGATCGTGGTCCCCTTCTGCCCCGGCCCGTTGACCCCTTCCCCGGGTTGG